AGGCATAGCCCACTTCCGAATCATCTCCCCCACTTGTCTCAAACTGCAGCCTGCCATCCGCAGGGGTGACCCAAACCCATTTCTACCTCCAACCCTTGAAAGAGTCGGGATAAGATTTGGCCTCGAATAAACGATGGCTGACCTGTTGAGAAATCGAGAGGTATCCTGGGGGACTCAGAACCACTAGGTCGTACAGAGTGAAAGAAATGGAGGAAGAGATTGATTGCAGGGCGAATACCTAAATGCAGGCATCGGGCCAGGAACCTAGCTATGAATATATGGGTAGTTGGGGAAAATTGACCCGGAACCACGCCATAATAGCCCATAACGCTCAAATAGGCATTATGGAGAGGGAATCAAAGGCTTACTTGCAGACTGGTTAGATGTACCCCAAAATGAAGAGGAGAGGGAGGGTCTACGATGTTCTGCCCGAGGGAAGGGCGGGAACATACCACACTAGGGCCCGCAAGGGCTACCGCCTTGCCAAATACGGTTTCAGATAAAGTGACAGTCGGGACTTGTCGGGCGAAGTCGCAAGAAAGGAAGAAATGTGTTTCCCTCCCATCCGGGTCCACCAGAATGCAGGGCCGGTTGGAGGTGGCCCATGCGTCGGGAAATACGTGGTGCAGAGGAACATAACTCAAAGAAGACATCAGGGAAACTAACCTGATGAAGCTTGAAGACGAAGGCCAAAGCGGAAATGAAGATTGCGGAAGAGCGTAATGAAAGACAATAGGCGTTTAAATAGCCAAGAAATTAGGGCTTGGAAACCGCTTGGGAAACCACAACGATAACACTCGAGTGCCGAAGATGGTAAGTCGGGTTGGAAACTGTACCAGGTTGCAGGCCTATGTCAGGACGGGCGCATTTAACGCGAGCGGCGCTATAGTTCACCCCAAAAGATTCCAAATTCGAAATTGTTCGGTCCAATTACTCTCCTAAAATCCAGCCTCGCTGATTTTAGAGAGTAGGGGGCTCGTGATGGTACCATGGGATTCAACCATGGCCCAACTGCGGAAATACAACCTAAAAGCCCACAACGAGATCAAGCCCTTAACAGAATTAGCCCTTAAACAGGATTAATGTTAGAAAACCACTAGGCCTAACTAGGAATCAAGCCCACGAGAGGAACCCACAACCAGGCCAGGCTGTTCACCCTTTGACTGCCCTTTTTGCACTTCAAATTGGTGGGGGGTAATTTTTAAAGTTACCAGTGTACTGTTCACAACAGTACACTGCAACCTTTTCAGACTTGTGCTTATCTGTTCTTATTAATTGCCTGCCGCCAACCCAAAAAAGGAGGGAAACTATTCCCTTTCATGGCTGCACTGTCATCATCAAATTCAAAATTCCCCCAAAACCTACATTAAAAAGGCAACGAGCCATCGAAGTAGTGACGTATTACAATAGTTTGTCACGCCAAATGGCAGAAAGTTCTGAGTTACAAATTGTTACAAGATCAAACTACAAAAAGCTGTCCAATGAAGAGAAAAGAACTATCCAAACTCTTCTTCTTCAAAGTGAAAGGCAAGATGACAGAAAGATTGGCTATGGCAGTTTGACAAAAATAGCCAAGCAATTCGGGGTGCACCGGAAGGCTATATCAACAATATGGCATCTCCTCATGGAATAACAAACATTTGGACTTCCCTTGAACCCAGTCTCAGGATGAAGAGAAAAGTTGGTAAGAAAGGCGTAATCATTGACCTGTCAAAAATGCTGCATATTCCTTTAAGCAACAGAAGGAATCTCAGGTCACTCTCTGCAGCTTTAGGACATCCAAAATCATGTGTGCACAAACTCAAACAAAAAGGTCAGTTCAAAAGTCACACATCAACTATCAAGCCTCATCTTACAGACTTGAATAAAAGACAGAGGTTAAAATGGATCATTTCTAACATTGAGGAGGACACAGTAACAAATGTACCCTGGTATAAAGGCATGTTTAACTTGGTACATGTGGTTGAGAAATTGTTTTACATGACAGAGGCATCACATAGGTATGTACTACCTACATCTGGATGAGGTTGAGCCTCATAGGACATGTCAATCTAAAAGATTCATCACTAAAGTGATGTTCCTGCAGTTGCCAGACCAATTATACATGCAAATGGTGAAGTGATTTTTGATGGGAAAATTGGAATATTTCCATTTAGTACAATGAAACCAGCTAAGAGAAAGAGTAAAAACAGGGAAGCTGGCACACTTGAGGAGAAAGCTAGTGTTTCAATCGGAATGCCTTCTCAATTTTGTATTGCCTGCTATCAAAGCTAAGTGGCCTATAGGTGTGAACAAGCATATTTACATACAACAAGACAATGCAAGACCCCATATTAGTCCAACTGATATTGACTTCATAAGAGAAGCCACTTCAGAAGGATTTAATATTGAACTAATATGTCAGCCTCCTAATAGCCCTGATCTAAATGTGTTGGATCTAGGGTTTTTTAGAGCTATTCAGACACTGCAACAGACCACACCAAGGAACTCAGTTCATGATCTCAGAGTGGGGGTGGAAAGTGCTTATGCTCAGTTCAGTCCTATTGCATTGAATCATGTTTGGTTGACTCTACAGTTGTGTGTGTATGAAATTATGAAAGTCAGGGGAGGCAATAACTACAAGGTGCCACATGTAGGAAAAAGTGCACTGGAAGCTCAAGGTAACCTACCAATCTGTTTCAAAGCTGACTCAAGTGCATTGTTGGAGGTGACTGAAGAATTGCCCTTCGAATGAACTTAGATTGACCAATGTGGAAGTGTTTTGGGGACCGAACAAGTTAAGTATTCACATTTTTTACTTTTTAGAATACTTGACATGTTCAGTCCATTAAAAAATGGGTACATACTCATTGTAAGACATGGATAGCTTTTTTGGATAGATCGACAAACTAGTGCAGCAATTAAGATATGACAAGGTTGAAACTGTTTTAGGGTTGTGAACATGGAAAGTGTTCAAATTTTTTACTTTTTGGAATACTAGACATGTTCAGGGATAGCTTTTTTGGATAGATTACTAGACAAAAATGGAACATATGGTTGTAATGCATTTCATGATACCTACACAAATGTGACTAATGCAACCTCTACTTTTGTATTTTGACTGTAAACGATGCTTGCCACACATCCCCCATGGTCTACTAGGGTTTCCCCTGGTGACTCAGTAGGGTGAAACCACATAAGAAGCACACACTACCATCACAGACGAATTACAACCATCACAAAACCAATTACATGCAGTTCATCATTGAAGAATTTCACATTACAAACCCCCATGGTCTCCTAGGGTTTCCCTTGGTGACTCATTAGGACTGAAACCAACTCCATTAACATCATCACACTCACCATCATGAACACACTGCCATTCAAATGGATGCTTTTATATTGGGACATATCATTGACCGCAGACAAGCATCACACACTCACCACTATGCACACACTGACATGAGGTCTCATACCAAGCACACTCACAGATCATTGACCTCAAACAAGTACACACAGTAGGATGAATATGAAAGTACTGACATGAGGCCTCATAGAAACACATAAACACTTCACAGTTTCATCATTGACCTCATACAAGCATCACACACTCACCACTATGCACACACTGACCTGAGGCCTCAAACCAACCACACTCACAGATCATTGACCTCAGACGAGTACACACACGCCTGAGGCCTCATACAAACAAGAATGAATATGAAATTACTGGACAAAACACAAATAAAAGTTTATCATTGACCTCAGACTACATGAAACAATCACAAATTACCTAAGCCTCCTAGGGTTTTCCTCGGTGGCTCAGAACTGGTAAGGTAAGCATACAAGTAGGAGAAAGGTTACGACCTTTATTTATCAAGGACATAACCAGGGAGCATCATGGCAATCCACTTATTCATGCGGAGTTGCATGTCAGGAGGCCGATAATTTCGCAGATCCGTAACAAGGAGCAATGTCTCAGGGTCAATCGCAGGACATGCTTTCTCAGTCTCGTCAAACTGATCTTCAGAGTCGGGGACAATCAGATCTACAAGAGACACCAAACACTCTTGCTCATGAGGGATAATCAGGGTTTCAGCCGACTCCAACTGCCAAATCGGGGTTCCAGCCGATGGAGATTGCCAATTCGGGCTTCCAACCGACGTCGATTGCCAAATCGGGGATCCAACCGAGGGATCTTCGGAGTCTAGAACAACAACGGTGTCCACCTCTGCATCTACCAACCATTTCTGTTCCACTTCGTCCGTAGCACCTGGTTTTGCCATGGAGAAGGTGGAATACGAAGAGAGGAAGATGGGTGGGTGAAGTAAATGGAAAAGGTGGAATACGAAAAGATGGAGCGGCGCAAGTGGGGTGAAGTAAATGGAGAAGGTGGAGTACGAAGAGGGAAGAGGGGAAGAGGTGAGGCGAAGTAAATGAAGTGGGTGGAATACGAAAAGGTGGAGTAGTGCGGTGGGAGAAGTAAATAAAGAGAGGTAGGGGTAGAAATTAAATGAGGGTAGCAAGATCTTTTTTGTGTGAATTTTATTTCCTAAAATAGAAAGAAGACTTTTATTTGGGGACAACCCAAATAGGAAACAAATCTTTTTATATAGGGACATAGGGAGTAATGATTACTGAAATTTTAGTTTGATGGATTGGGATTTGGATATACAGGATTACAGGGATGATAGTTTAAAGTGAGAACTATAAAATAAGCCCTCAAACTTCCATAAAAAGTGCAAATAAGCCCTTTTACAGGAGGCTTTATCCGGCTGTCGCCATTTGGGGTGGTTTCCGGTGGAATTTTTTGACGAAATTTTTTGAGCATCTTCTTCATTAAGTTTAGTTTACCCATACCAAATTTTAGCTAAAAATTCAATCAAGAAGGCAGTCAAATGATTTTCTAAAATATACTGCGCTCTCTAACTGCGCAGTTATCTTCAAAATACATTTGATTGCTTTCACGATTGAATTTTTAGTTTAAATTTGATATGAGTAAAACGAATAAGTGAATCCATGGTATAAACGAATAAGTGAATCCATCGTCATCATCATCCAACTTTAGGTGATACTCCGTATGATATTTCGTGACAGAGACGCTCGCCGGCCAGACGCGGCGCTAATCTCCCCTTGAAACGTGGCGCTTCCGACACCCCTCGGCAACTCTTTCATCTTCCACCCACCATCCCTCTACCCACCTAGACAAGCCCATCCCACCATCCATCGCTTTCTCCCTTTCTCTCTGATCACCATACCCACTGAGTCGTCTCTGCTGGTGGCATCCGGCCCGTAAAATACGCGGCTATCCTGACACCGAAAATTGGAGCTGCAGAGCTTCGTCATCATCTTGGTTCTCTCTGTCCGATTCCTGCTCCATTCGCTCGATTTGAGTTGAGGTATCCATACCTTGTCCGTTGTTTTGGACTGTTATGTTTTAAAATCAAATCACGAAATGCTGAATTCATTAGTTATTGGGTTTCCTGTTATAAATTTAATAATAATCTACATCTATTACAAAGCGAGCAGATTTATCATTATTTTATATCTTGTTTAAGCTCGATGATCACCATCTTTTATGTGCAAGTGATTGCATATTCGCATTCTGCATCTGTCTCCCTTCACAAATATGATAAAAAGTGAAGCTATTTTTGCCGTTTTCAGTATATAATTTTTTTATTTGGGAAGATAAGCTTCTAATTCCGCTGTATTTTATCTAATGCAATTGTTAGAGAAATGATATTTTCCTACAGTCATTTCTTCCCCACATCATGCATTTTTCCTTTTTTGAAAGGCACACACATTTTACTTGGAAGCAATAATCATATCTGCAGTTTTACTGGACACAAATTTTATTCAAAAACAATTTTTTCCCACCACCATATTTTTTTTACTCCTGTGCAATTCTTTTCAAAATCTTTTCTTTTTTTTTTGAAAAACATTGACGTTGCTTTGATTTAAGTCTCAACTACGCAATAGTTTAAATTTGGACTATCCTCTGAAATAGAGTCTCCTCAGAGGTCCTGGGGTAATACGTAGGTGGTTTTTCATTTCTTCGTGCTCATAAGAATAAAAGTTGAATTTTTGAATTTGTTTTATCATCAATTTTGGCAGTTATACTGGATTGGCAGTATTGCACACTTGCAATAACATAGTACTAGACTACTAGTAATTATAATTATTAGATACATGGGAATAAATTTATAGTCGAATCAATGATGTGTTCTTGTAGTTGTTGTGGTTAACCTTATTATTGCACCTGGTGCTACAGTCCGTTCTACTGTCTAAGTCCAAGTCCTGGATAGGAAATATGTGAAAACATGAGTCTTCTTAAAAGAAGAGGTTGGGTAACTTACTACACTTACGTTATTAACTGTGACCTAGGTTCATTAAATAAAGCATTTTCTACTTGGGAAGATGCAAGGATTTTTTATAATTTTCCTTTTCTTCAATATATTTGTTATACTAGGAATAACTATATTTCATTATTTCCTGAGGTCATTATTACTATTAGAGTATTAGGCTATTAGCTACTTTTTGAGTGTAGTTTTTTTTCCTTTCAGAGATGCTACTTTTATGCAAATTTAAATGATTTTTGATACATTGTTTTATTTTTACTTCAGAGTTGGTAATGTAATCCTGTGAATATCATTTGTACATATGAAGGACATAAGATCATGGAGGTCAATAATGAAGAAAAGAGGTGACTCATTTGAAGGGGTATGTTAGTATGCATAGCCGATTAGTTTGGAGTTCTTAAGACAGACTAAATTGTTGAAAGCTATCTGTTTTCGACTTGCATAGACACTATAGTTTATGTTGTGTGAAACCTGCAAAAATGGATTTGCACTTTTGCAGGGAACATGTGGACTGAAGATGAAACCGCTTCCATTTATGGCAATAGTTTGTACAGTAATGCTGTTTATTGGATATAGGACCACTAATTTTCAATATCAGCGGACAGAGGTACTCATGTCATAAGCTTGTGTGTCCTATATTTGAATGATTCATGGGCACAATATTAAATAAGATTCCGAAAATAGCTTGTGTAATATCATGTTTCTTTTCTTGAAGTTCTAAATTCTTCTTTCCTTTTTGAAAAGGGTTTTGCTTATAAGATATAACCTTCTGAAATGCTTCCACTTGTTCTTATGGGCAATTACAAAGTATGCTCTTGCAGTGAACAAGACATTCGAGTGGTTTGCTGCTAATTTCATCATTGAAGTTTGCAAAGATGAAATTTGCCTTTTTTTGCAAAATTGTGTTCACTTCTTTTAGTGTCAGCTAATTAGAGAATGATTTCAATAGTAGAGTTATGCCTTGCTAATTAGGACATTTTGTTCTTCTAAATCTTGCTTATGGTGAGTGCCTTACTAAAAACATTTAAACTAGGGGCCTGATAATTATGCAAAACAATCTTCATAAATACTACTCCCTTTGTCCCAATTTCTTTTAAAAAGTTTGAGTGGCACAAGAATTGAGGAATGACAATAAATGAAGCTTGCTTTTTACTTTTTTTCCCATCTTTCATAAAGTAGATGCCTTTAAGTTAATGGAAATAAGGTAAAAGTAAGGGTAAGTTTGTCATTATACACATATACATACTGTTGATAAAACGAAGAGACATCATTCATCTAGGATTTGTTTTCCTTATTATTACTGTAATTATGCTTCAGGTTGTTATTAATAGCTGCTGTCTTTTCAGTTTATAAGCATTTATGTTTAGTATTTAGACAGTCACCTAGGGTACTGAATAGACTCTCTATGGCTTCTGCCTGTATATATTGGTCTGTACTTCTTGAAAATGAATAATTGAAGAATAAAAATATACAGAAAACTTAATGGTATCAGAGCACGATCTTGTATCAGCCTCTTCACTGTTAATCATCTTTCCAATAGTATACTAGGGTGTCTCTACCCATCTCTTCACCAACGGTTCTATCATGTCTAAGGAAACTGAATCAACAGCAAGTCACCTTGACCACTCAACCATCGTTTCAGATGTTACTGCAGCCGCATTTGCTCTTCGAAACCAGAAATTTGATCTCCCTTCTATCCCGCCATCTTACCGTCTCAATGGCAGGAACTATCTTGGATGGTCAAAGCTGGTTTATACTCTCCTACGTGGCAAAGATCTTGAAGATTATCTCACTGTCTCTACACCAGACGAAGGAGACATTGATGCTGCTGTTTGGGAGAAAACTAACGCTAACATACGAGTCTGGTTATGGGACTCCATGGATCCCAACATTAGCGGTACATGTTTATACATGGACTCGGCTAAAGAAATCTGGGATTTCATATAACAGTCCTACTCCGTTGCTAAAGATGACGCTTTTGTCTATGACTTATGGCTCCAAACAACGAATCTTAAGCAAGTTTCACAATCTGTCACAGAATATGCAACTGACCTCCAACGACGATGGTCTGAACTTGACCAGTATCAAACAATGAAGTGGTCGAATGCTGCAGATGCAACTCTTCACAAGAACTATATAAATCAGCAACGTCTATATTACTTCTTGTCTGGTTTAAATCCCGAATATGATCAGACCCGAGGTCAAATACTCGGCATTACTCCTCTGCCTTCCCTATCTTCTGCCATTGCCACTATCAAACATGAAGAGAGTAGACGCAATATAATGATGAATACAAAGCTGATTGACAGTACGAACCTTGCTGCCAAATCTACTCCTTCGGATGTTAAGGAAACTAAGGGCAGTAAGGGAGGAAGATGGTGTGATCATTGCAAGCGGTCCAACCATAATGTGGATAGATGCTGGAAACTTTATCCTCATCTACAGAAAGAAAGAAAAGGCCAGGACAGACATGAACTAGTGCTGGACGTGCTAACTCAGTCACTCCCACTATTGTTGAGAGCTTTACTAATCTCTCGCCCATTTCCCAGGAGGAAATACAGCAACTTCGTATGATGCTACAGTCTCTTAATAACTCAAATGGTTCTGGTCATAGCTCTTTGGCCTTGCAAGGTAAAACCTCTACTATTTTTTGTCTTAATGCTTCGCAACAGAGTTCACAATCCCAATGGATATTAGACTCAGGTGCCACATCTCATATGACTGCTGTACCCTATTTACTCTCTAATTATCGTCCATGTTTTACATCCACACACATTACTACTGCTGATGGGACACCTACAGAGGTTGCGAGGCTTGGTACGGTTGTTTTTTCTGAAAAATTAAATCTGAAAAACACCCTACATGTCCCAAACCTGGCTATGAACCTTGCTTCTATTTACAAACTCACTGTTGATCTTAATTGTGCTGCCATTTTCTTCCCTTCCCACTGTTTATTACAGGATCTCCACACGGGGAGGACGATTGGAATTGCTAAACAAAGAGATGGCCTGTACTACCTTGATGCACTGTTTGTCTCCAAACCTCCACAAAAAGCTCTTACCTCAATCACGGCCAATACCAACACTATTTGGCTTCACCACAGGCGACTTGGTCATCCCTCTTTTCATGTCCTAAAAACCATATTCCCTAGTCTTTTTAGTAGTGTTGATGTTTCTACATTTCAATGTGATGTCTGTGAACTTGCTAAACAGTCCCGTGTATCTTTTTCCAAAAGTAATACAATCAGTTGTTCTTCTTTTGATATTATACATAGTGATGTCTGGGGCCCTGCTCCAATTACTAATATATCTGGTGCCCGGTGGTATGTTACATTTATTGACGACTATACACGTTTTATGTGGGTTTTTATGCTAAAAAACAAGAGTGAGGTGAGTTCCATCATTCCCATTTTTTGAAATATGATTCATAATCAGTTCTCCGCCACTATAAAACGCTTCCGTACTGATAATGCTCTTGAATACTTCAATCAAACTGTTTCCTCTTATTTCATCTCAAAAGGTATTGTTCATGAGTCCTCTTGTCCATACACACCACAACAGAATGGCACAGCAGAAAGAAAAAATCGCCATCTCCTTGAAGTTAATCGGGCTTTATTGTTTCAATCAAATATGCCTAAACACTACTGGGGGGAAGCCACACTCACAACATGTCATCTCATCAGTAAACGTCCAAGTCGGGTACTCCAAAATAAGTCACCCCTTGAATCTCTCCATCACTTCTTTCCTCAAACCAGAATTTCTTCTGATCTAAGGGTGTTTGGGTGTACTGCATTTGTTCATATTCCTCTACCTCATAGGGGGGAAATTGAACCCACGATCTATTAAGTGTATCTTTCTAGGTTATTCTCCAATTCAGAAAGGATATAAGTGTTATAATCCTACAACCAGAAAGACATACACCAGTGCAAATGTGACCTTTCATGAAGACGAACCTTTTTACACTTCTACTTCTCTCCCTGAATCCCAAGATACTCCACATCTTCACCTCTTCCCACCTATACTATTACATCTTCTCCAACACATACAATCTCCTACCCTCCTAAGCCTTTATCATCAGACATCCCACCACCACTACCACCTAATCACCCATCACCTTCCTTAGATGTGTCAACTACCTCACCTACTTCCCAACAGTCTTCAACATCACCTGAACCTCAATCAAATTCACCACCAGACCATCCCATTACTGCACCTACTAAATCCACCACTCATGACCCACCTTCTCCTCTACCAGTGACAAAAGTGTACTCAAGGAAACACAGGTTCACTCCATTGTTGACGCATGACCAAACGGCTGACCCAGGTAATGTCTCTTCTTCTCCACCACCGTCTCCGCCAATTGCTTTACGCAAGGGTGTACGTCAATGTACCAAAACACGTCTATACCCTCTTGCTAATTTTGTTACCATTGATAACTTCTCTCCTTCACATGCGTTGTTTGTTCAAACACTTAATGAAATTCCCATACCCAACTCTGTTTCTGAAGCATTAGGAAAGAAAGAATGGAGGGATGCTATGCAAGAGGAAATTAGAGCACTTGAAAAGAATCATACTTGGGATATTGTGACTAAATCTCCTGCGAGGCATGTTGTTGGTTGCAGGTGGATCTTTACTGTCAAATACAATGCTGATGGATCTCTTGAACGGTACAAAGCTCGTCTTGTGGCTAAAGGATACACTCAGACGTATGGGATTGACTATCAAGAGACCTTTGCTCCCGTAGCTAAGCTCAATACTGTTCGTATCCTACTATCCTTGGCATCTCACTTTGATTGGCCTTTACTGCAATTTGATGTCAAGAATGCTTTTCTCCACGGTGACTTGCATGACGAGATCTACATGCACATCCCGCATGCTTCAACAAAACACCAATAAGTACCTCTACACATGTATGCCGACTAAAAAAAGCCCTTTATGGTCTCAAGCAATCCCCTCGTGCTTGGTTTGACCGCTTCACACAGGTTGTTCTTGCTGCTGGGTATAGTCAAAGCCAAGGGGATCATACTCTTTTTACAAACACTCTCGCCCAAATGGAGTCACTATTCTTTTAGTATATGTGGATGACATCATTGTGACCGATAATGATCCGGTTGAGAAACGTCTTAAGGGGCAGCTGAAATCCCAATTCGAGATGAAGTCACTTGGCCCTCTAAAATACTTTCTTGGAATTGAAGTTGCTCGATCATCTGAAGGGATCTTTATCAGCCAACAAAAGTATATTACAGATTTGCTAAATGAGACTGTTTAGAGTGCTTGTCGACCGGTTACTGCACCTATGGATCCTAATCATAAGCTTGGACTTGCCACTGATGAACCCAAGATTGATTCATCAATGTATCAACGTTTGTGTGGCAAACTTATCTCTCTCTCATACTAGACCTGACATTGCCTATGCGGTTAGTGTCATGAGCCAGTTCATGCATGATCCAAGAAAACCGCATCTAGAAGCAACCTATAGGGTTCTACACTACCTAAAAGGAAGTCCAGGACAAGGAATAATATTCAGGAAGGGTGGGCAATTATCTGTCCAAGCCTTCACTGATGCAGATTATGGTGGCTCTCTCGTTGACCGCCGGTCAACTACTGGTTTCTGTGTTTTCGTGGCAGGAAACCTTGTGACATGGAGAAGCAAAAAACAGAATGTTATGGCACGATCATCTGCTGAATCTGAGCTAAGAGCCCTTGCCCACGACTTGTGTGAACTTCTATGGATCAGAATTATTCTCTTAGATTTACAAATCAGGTGGAAGGGACCAATGGAATTGAGGTGTGATAACAAATCCACAATCAGCATAGCTCATAATCCAGTCCAACATGATCGGACCAAGCATATTGAGATTGATTGGCACTTCATCAAAGAAAAGGTTGAAGGAGGTCTAATTGAACTAAGCTACACTCCCTTAGAGGATCAAGTTGCAGATGTGTTTACCAAACCTCTGCACAGTCCTAGGTTTCAGAGTCTTATTGTCAAGCTAGGCATAAAGGATATCTACAAACCTAGCTTGAGGGGAAGTGTTGATAAAACGAAGAGACATCATTAATCTAGGATTTATTTTCCTTATTATTACTGTAATTATGCTTCAGGTTGTAATTAATAGCTGCTGTCTTTTCAGTTTATAAGCATTTATGTTTAGTATTTAGACAGTCACCTAGGGTACTGAATAGACTCTCTAAGGCTTCTGCCTGTATATATTGGTCTGTACTTCTTGTAAATGAATAGTTGAAGAATAAAAATATACAGAAAACTTCACATACCTAAAATAGAAAGTTGAAAATCTCTTCGGGATGACTAAAATAGGAAATTTTGGAAATCAAATTGGGACGGAGGGAGGTATTACATATAGACATTTGAAATTCAAGCATAGATTATAATATGTATAATCAAGAAAGATATTTTCTATAACATTTTCAAAATACGCATTGAGCATATTAACACTCAAACAACACCGAATTAAAGTCTCGATGTCATTCTATTGCCTAAAATATCCGTCAGCACTAACAACTTTTCATTAACTTCACAAGTAAATGTTCACAAGAACATAAATTATATCTGTTTGGTTTTATAAGCTTTTGACCAAGCTTATTAATAGTGGATGATGTAGAAAATTATCTCTCGGGTTGTACATCACGGTTGTACGTATTTACTTGGTTATCCGCTATTGCCATAACATCACTACAAGAGAACTATTTGGGTAACATATCGCAAGATAAACTAATTAATTCTTATGATGTATGACATATATATTTGCACATATGTGTATTGCCTTTATTCATACTATGTAGTTAAATACACAAGTACACAATACAACAATGCACATATCTCAGTATGCTATATTGCTATCTAACATTGTATTTTTGTTTCTTTAACAGATGGAATCAAAATTTGATCCTTTCTACAACTCAAAGGTATTCATAGTATTATATGTTCACTTTACTATCATCATACTCATAAGCATTTTTTATATAGTCCACATGCTATGCATGATCCAGGATTATGGTGGGGCTGGCAGTAGATTGAGTAGTTTGCCTCGTGGTATCATAGAAGCTAGATCTGATCTTGAGTTGAAGCCTCTGTGGTCAACAAGTAGCTCAAAGTCCAATGTATGTATTGATTATTGCATGTATATTTACTTTTTTCATCGAATATTTCCTACTCTGTCAAATGCTATGATTTTTATTTGAACTTAATACCATATGTGAGTTCTGGTAATTTCTTTATCGTTCCATTTGCAGGATAACGTTCCAGGTTCTCATAACCTGTTGGCAATACCAGTTGGCATCAAACAGAAAGATAATGTGGATGAAATTGTTCAAAAGGTCCGTTTTGTCTTTATTTTTGGGGTTTTCATGAAGCGACTGAAATTTATCATGATACATACTTTTTCTGACCCTTTTCATTGTTTTTTTTTGTTTCCGGGTTGTTTCAGTTTCTTTCAGAGAATTTCACAATTATTTTGTTCCATTATGATGGCAATTTGGATGGATGGTGGGACCTAGATTGGAGTAAGGAGGCCATTCATATAGTTGCCCAGAATCAAACAAAATGGTAAGTAGTAGAGCACACTTCCTTAAGACAGGCTCACAGAGTCACAGGCCATTTTAGATAGTTTGTCCGTCTTTATACTTTTCACCTATCGAGTTTACAGTATTTCATATTCTAAGGCTAAAGGGTCAAATATACCCTGTACCTTGTTCTGATTGCTCATTTTTATCCCTGAGCTGAAAAAGGTTCAATTCACACACTGAACTCACTAAAATATTCAAATTCCATTTTGACATTTGAACTTCAGGTTACTCTTCATGTCACCCGGTAAGGAGCCATGGATTTTACGTGGAAGCTAAATGGTCAAAAAAGTCCCTAAACACGTCTTAGTTTCACCCCCTCAACCGTAATACAGGTTCAACTGTTCAACATTCTGATATATTCAAAACATAAAATATAAATGCAAATATAAAAAATGTAAATAGGAAATATTTATATATGCGGTAAATTCAAAATATAAATTTGTGATCTTTCCTTATTTTCCACTTCCTTTTATTTCTCTCCTCTACACAAACCTCAACCATACAGTTTTTACTTTATTATTCTCCGTGCCAAACTGTCAGTCAAAACTTGGAAAAGTTATAAGGGAAAGAGGAAGTATAAGAATAGAATATAAAATACATGACAAATTTTATACGTTATATATTGCGGAGTATAATTTATTTCCACATTTATACTTATATTTTACATCACACATTTAAACATTATATTTTAATTTTTTGTTTTATTTTTTTATATTTAATATTCTTTAATTTTTATTTTATGTACTCTATTTTTATATTTTCTTTAATATGTTGTATTTTTATAAGTCAAACCGGATATTTATATTTAATGTTTTATAAGATATTTTAGAATTTATGGTTTTATATTAATAATTTTATGATCATTATTTTACTTTTTATTTTATATCATATTTAATATTTTTAAAACTTCCCAACTGTTAAAATCTAAAATTGTAAAAATATAAAATATAAAGTCTAAAAACCAAGGCCTAAAATAATCGTCCCTTATAACTTTGCATCTTTCCTTTATTGGTTGTCCCAAAAACTTTGCCACTATCCCTTTTAGTCAATTAATTTGTGGCTTACATTATTTCTCTCTCCTCATCACAAATCTCAAGCACACAATTTCACTTTATTATTTCCCGTCTCAGTCATACCTGGCAAAGTTTCAAGGGACGGAGGGAGTACAACACAAAATATAAAATACTAAAACAAAACATATAAAATTTGAGATACAAAATCCAAATATAAAAAATAAATGTAAAATATACATATAAAGTATAAAATACAAGTGTTAAATTATCATCTATGGATATTTTATGTTTTGAATTTACTGCAGAACTTAAACATTTTCTATTTTTATAAATGTTTATATATATATATATATATATATATATATATTTCTATTTACATTTTATTTTTGAATTTATCGCAATGTTGGCCCTTTTTTGTGGTTGGGGGGTGAACTGAACATCTTGGACGGGTCCAGGGACTTGTTTGACCCTTTAGCTTCAACCTCAGATGCACGGTGGACACCTTGGCGTGGCGAGTACTTTACCTGTAAAATATGAAATTTGAATTGTTTTAGTGAGTTTAGACTTTAGAGTGTAAATTGAATGTTTTTTAGTTCAGGGGCTGAATTTAGCAACGGGAAGAGTACCGGGCTTATTTGATCCTTCAGCTTTATTATAAATCATGAACACTGGAAAAATATGTCCTGATGCAGCAGTTGGATGCCCTAGGTGGTTTACTCACCACATTTGTTTGCATATATATTCTACTAGATGCTTTGCTCTTCTATTATAATCCTTTACCCTAATTTTAGTTATTGCAGACAGTTGGTTTTGGATGATTTTCTCATTGGTATCAAGAAGGTAACCGTTGTACCCAATTTTTTTCAGGTGGTTTGCGAAGCGTTTTCTACATCCTGCTGTTGTATCTATTTATGATTACATATTCCTATGGGATGAGGATTTGGGTGTAGAGAACTTCCACCCTGGAAGGTACCATCATCATGTTAGTTGATTGCCTTATTAAGGCTATTCATGTGTTGATTTATTTCATTCACGGGATGAGTGTCTCTAGGAGTTAGTCCGTGTCTTCTTCATAGTTGTAGATTTTAGGTTTCTTCGCATTTGTCATTTTAGGTTAAAAATGAGATTTTATAATCTCATGATTAACAGCTTTGTTTGGGCATTGCAGATATATCGAGGTTGTAAAGGCAGGAGGATTGGAGATATCTCAGCCAGCTTTGGACCCCAATTCAACTGGCATTCACCACCGGATAACAATAAGAAGAAGAACCCGCAAATTTCACAGGTAATAAGCTTTGGTGGTGAAGACTCGAACCACTTTTTGAATTTTGATCATCCAAATAATACTGAAATGCTGCTTTAAGCAGAAGAGTGTATGAGGATAGAGGCAGTACAAAATGTTCTGAAGAAAGTGAAGGTCCTCCTTGCAGTGGGTAAGCTTGTTTCTACCTTGCTTTGGCCTCTATTTTGTGATGTGTGAATAGGTGTTTACCATTATATATTTGCAGATTTGTGGAAGGAATGGCTCCTGTCTTTTCAAAATCTGCATGGCATTGTGCTTGGCATCTTATACAGGTGAGAATGATTTTGCTCTCTCACAAAAAGAACTATCTGTTTTTTTCACTATCTAAAAAAAGTGAAGCTATATTATGGAATATTTTTTTCTATCAGAATGAAAGAACAATCTGTTTTTGTATCATTCTCACAAAATTAAAGCTATATTAGGGAATATTCAATTTTTCTTATTCTATCAGAATGATCTTGTTCATGGATGGGGAATGGACATGAAGCTTGGCTATTGTGCACAGGTAACTTTACTCATCTACCTCACACCTATGGATAAGTATTTTTGTGGAACCTATCAAAACCACAACCGCACACATATTAGCTTTGGATGAGCGCTACATTTTCACTATCAGTTGATTTGAATGTTTTTTAGTGGAGTGGGGGCTGATTGTAGGCTTTAATGATTCCTGTGTTTTGGCTCAAACTTCTATAGGGGGACCGGACAAAAAAAGTTGGTGTTGTTGATAGTGAATATGTAGTCCATCAGAGCATCCAAACGTTGGGTGGGCAATCTTTTAAAAAGGTAATTGTTTTGCATACATTTTTGTTCTCTTTTTGAACAAAAGCATACATGCCATATATGAGAATTGGAAAGAAAAGCATTTCTTCTCTTATGCGGATTCTGTTCATCTTTTCTTGTGACGGGTTAGTGGTTGTCTGAATACAGTGTAGTTTTCTACTACCACTGATTATCAGTATCACAATTCGCAATTGAAATCTTCTACTATGCATACATTACTCCGCAATGTATACAAATAGGTAGTGTTTCACGAAATGCAGCTCAATCATGATTTTAAGATGTTTTACGCACAAATTAAATAAAGAGCCAAATGAAAACCTCTAGTTTTATCTCTTGTACATCTTTCGATTAAACAAAGGGGGGTTGGGATTTGGTTGTCCAGTAATTGTGACATGTCAAAAACTTCTGAACTTAGTTTTCGCTTCTAGAAACCAGACTTTTATTTTGCTGCTTCTTTGCATATTTTATAACTGCAAATTTGCTGATACGCTATGTGTTCACAGTGGTTTATTGTTTCCATTTTTTCAGGATTCAAATCCCCAAGAGCTGCTGAAAGTATGTCTTTGTTTTTTTGATTGACACCACAGACATGCAAGTGCATGCACACACACACACACTAGCTCCATTTGATGACATAAAATATATATTTTGAAAAGATTTTATGTTGATAATGATTTCTTGGAACATTAGTAGTTTATGTGTGCTAAATATTTAACCTACAAAAAGGAAGTCTTTTCCCCCTATACAGGAAAACAAAGAAAATATTCTCCGTCAGTCAAATGGAGCCTAAAACAGTGTAATAATGTCTGAACTCATTTATAAACCCATTTTTTTCTTGATTTGCAGAGGCATGTTGTTGACGTGAGATCGGAGGTAAGACCTTCACAGCTCATAGGATTGTTAAGCCTTTTGAAGTTAAAAGGAAATATATTGTTACACTGGAGTTCAGTAAGCTGATTATTAAGCCTCTGAACACTGAAAACCCAAGACACGTTTCCTTTTATAAAGTCTAGCATATTAAGTCGTTGTAGCCAATAATCCTTGCTAAAGGGCTCCAGGTATCTCGTACTGATCTAATTAAAGTCATCTTGTTTAGATAAGGCGTCAATCCACAAATGAACTACAAGAATTTAAAGAGCGTTGGGAAGAAGCTGTAAGCGAGGACAAGAGCTGGGTGGATCCGTATAAAGAAGGTAGTCAAATCCAGAAACGTGAGATCAGGAAAAGGAGGAACCATAGGCGAAATATAAATCTCTAGACTAACTATAATCATCAGCAGTTTTGTTTTTATCGTCGTTCTAGTTTGTTCAACCTCAATTCAGTTTACCTTGCTGCGCCAACCTGTAATTTGTAGTGTGTAGGTTGATCGACTGAACGACACAATTTGTTTATTGTTTGACCGTTGGTTTTGCCTGTCTTGGTGTTATAATCCTCTTTTGCTCTAAATTTATTCAATGGAACAGTTACCAATCTGGCTTTTCAATGGCTGAAATTAGTTAACCGATGAACTTTCTTAAATTTTCCATCATTTGAAATAGAGTCAATAAATCACTATTTTTTGGCTTGAGAATATGATGGAGTAAAGCAAAATGGCTCACTAAACTGTCTGTGCTTCTTTATTGTGAAGCAACATTCAGTCCATGTATTTTTCGATGCGATTTTCACTATGGGTAATTCGGAAACAGTCTCTATGTGCTTTAGTACATGGGTAAGATTGCGTACATCCGATCTCCCCTTATCCCACCGTAGGTGGGATCCTTTGCGGCACTGGGGTAATGATGATGATGAACTTTCTTAAATCAATCAAAACAATACAGGCGAATAAGATGTTTAAGTGCCTCCGTAGTGTCTCAAATTTTAGAATAGTTCCGTGTATAAACTATGAATAATATGTTATGGAGAATATCTTGATATTATGCACAATGCACTCGGCATTGTTTGACATCATAACGAGTACCGATTTTGACTAACATAATTGCATAAGTATGAGACCATTTGTTGTGGTCCATCCGCTCTAAATACGTATGAATGCGTGGATCCTCTTCATACTAGAGGTGGACTCGGGCCGGGTTGGGCTTGGGCCAAGCCTAGGCCTGGTCGGGTCGCCGGTTTTTATCACATGGACCCGGGACCGGCCCGAGGGTTGGACGGGTCCGGTTCGGGCTGGGCCACTTGCCCGGGTCACGGGTCGGGCCACCCGTTGGGCCGGGCTGGGCCGGTTAAAGTAATTTTTTTTTATAATTCATATTTTATACTTTATAGTTTTATACAAGTATTAAAAACAAACTACAAATGCATTTATTTGAAATATGAATTACAAGTTTACAAGTTACAATTAAGAATTGAAGGTAAAATTAAAACATGAAATACTAATCAATCATTCAATCGGAATCTCCGGCATAGGTAGAGCCATCCTCGGTTATAGATTCATCCATAAAGTGTTGGGATGGGGTGATGTCAATTTCTTGAGCTCTACAAACCGCTTTCAACCAATCGTGGTAGCATATAAGCATCTCAAGAGATTCTGCGCTCAACCTCGTTCTACATTGCGTCAGAACATTGCCGGTCGAACTAAATTCTTGTTCCACTGCAACCGTTGAAACCGGCATTGATAGCACTTGCTTAGCCATCTTTGCTAAAAGCGGGAACATTCTTTCTTTTCCCTTCCACCAGTTTAGTACGTCAAAATCATCATCTTCTTCAAAATCAACATCATATGTTAAATACAAAGAAGTCTCATTAATTGTGCTTTGTTGTGTAGCGGGAGTTGATTTCGTTTTTTTAATAAGATTGGCAAATGTACATTTGAAAATTGATTTTCCTTTAGATGATGTTTGTGTCGGGGGAGGGGGTGCATTGCCATATTGTGCATGAAACTCATTAAATAATGCATAAAATATATCACTAAGTTCGTTGTATTCTTTTTTTCGGATCAATTGGGTTGTCCTCATACATTGGCAATGGACCAAAAAAAGTAGCATAATAATAATTCAAACATTCTTCTAAAGAACCAAGTCTAAAACGAGGATCGAGAACAAATGCAATACCATAAATATGCGGAATATGTGAATAATATTTTAAAAACTTTTTCTTCATAAAACTAGCAAAATAACTCACATAATCAGCATTCTCAAAATTTGAAAAAGCACTGACGAGATTAACAACTTCACGAATAAATTGGTTTGAGGTAGGTTTATAAACATGATTAAAAGTTTCAGTTGCATTATTAAAATATATCAAAGCATTACAATTTTTTTCACAGGTGTCGATCTCAGCTGAGTTTATAATATAGTTATCATATTGTTTCATAAAAGCAGGAAAATGTTGTTTATATCTAAGAAGAACTCCAATTAACTTATAGGTACTATTCCAACGAATAGACAAATCTTTAAGAAAAGCCACATATTTCTCACCTCTTTCTATCAAATAATCATGCCATTTTTTCCTAAGTTGTCCATTACCCAAATACGTCTAATCCCCCCCTTGACTACCTCCAACGATGCTCCCAACGCTTTTAGACCATCTCGCACACATAAATTTAGAACATGACATGCACATCGTTGATGAAAAAATCTACCCATCAAAGAAGTAGAACCACACAATTCACGCAATCTAGGAATAGCAACAGTATTATTAGTAGCATTATCAAAACCAATAGCAAACACCTTATCAATTAAATTATACTCAATTAAAATACGCTCAATCAAAATATAAATATGTTCAGCGATGTGACGATCATTAAATTCACGGAAAGCAAGAACACGTTTATGCATATGCCAATCATTATCAATATAATGTACAGTCAGACCCAAATAATGTAAATTATGATAAGTATCCTCCCATACGTCAGAACATACAGTAACACGTCCATCAAAGTTTGCAAAATAATTTTGTAACCTTACCTTTTCCGCACCATAAAGCCTTAAAATTTCTTTCTTAACCGTTTTGCGACTATAACCTCTTCTATATTGCGGATTTAAACAAGTTTGTGCATAATCACGAAAAGCAAGACTTTCAGAAAACAAATAAGGCAAATTTTCTTCAACAAGTAAGTTAGCCATACCAGTCAAATTTTGTGCATCATTATAAGAGAAATTACCAAAAGCTTGTTGGTTATTTGCAAACCTCGATATTTGAGTTTGCTTCCCCGTTCCGCCGCCTAATTTTGCATACTCCACCGGGTGTTTAGACTTAAGATGTCTTGTGGCGGATCCGTATCCACCGGAAATCCCCAAGCTATAGTTTTTCTTGCACCAATTGCAAGTTGCGGTCCAATTCCCGGTGTTTGGGTCCTTCCACTTAGAAAAAGTATTAGCCATTAGTTTAGATTTACTTTTTTTCGTACCTATTTGGGATGAGGCAGGCTCGTCGGCGTCATGGCTGCCGCCACCCTCCTCCTCCTCGTCGTCGTGGCTCTCCGGAATTACTTCCTCCACATCGTCGTCCTCGTCCTCGAGCTCTTCTTCGTCAATGGTCCTCGGTTGGTCTTGAAAAAAGCGGGAATTGTGTCGGTGCAATTCTTGTTCTAGTTGTTCGTCAGTCATCGCATCCCCATCCCTCCTTGCGTAACCCGTATCAAAATCATTTCGACTTTGAGATGAAGAGCCAATATGTGATTTACCTTTGCGGGATCTCTTCCTCGCAAGCTCTTTCGTTCGGTTGCGCTCGAGGTTACCCATATCAACCGAATATCTAGGACGATCCATCTAAAAAATGTAACAAATATTAAATTGCAACAAATATATTAATAAAAATATTATAATAAAAAATTGGAGTTATAGCAAATTAGTATTTTAAAGTTTACTTTAATCAAATTCACTAGTGAATTAACTAGTTTTGTGTACAACCTATTTTTTTTACTAACAATGAAATTAATATACTTTAACTTTAACTATAATGAGAATTAACTAGTTTTTTAAACTAGAGTCGAATGTAGCAATTGATAAAAAATTGTAATAAAGTAATTAACTATTAATCTAACTATTAATTCGAGTTATAGCAAATTAGTATTTTAAAGTTTACTTTAATCAAATTAACTAGTGAATTAACTAGTTTTGTGTACAACCTATTTTTTTTTACTAACAATGAAATTAATATACTTTAACTTTAACTATAATGAGAATTAACTAGTTTTTTAAACTAGAGTCAAATGTAGCAATTAATAAAAAATTGTACTCTCTCCGTTCCTAAATAAACTTCCAACTTTCCTTTTTCGTCCGTTCCAATTAAAACTTCCACTTTCCTTTTTTGGTAAAGAATTTGTGGTTCACAACATTTCTTACACATTTCTCTCTCCTCTGCACAACTCTCCACCACACAATATCCACTATCTTAAACTTTGTGCCAAACCCATTTGGAAGTTAAAATGGGAACGGAGGTAGTAATAAAGTAATTAACTATTAATCTAACTATTAATTCGAGTTATAGCAAATTAGTATTTTAAAGTTTACTTTAATCAAATTAATTCTAATTTTTTTTTCAAGTAACGTTAATACAAAATTAAACAAGTGTAAATAATAGAATGATTTCGTACCTCTTTCGGACTTTCGGTCTTTCGGATGGGAGTAATTGAATGACTTCAAATTAATTAGATATAATTCCAACTATATTAATAGATATAATAAATGTATAAGTAATATATAATTAGATAACAAATATAAGTAATATAATATTATAATGTATGTATTTATAAATTATAAGTAGATAATTAATATAAAGAGGACATATAAATAATAAATATAATATATTGGAGAATAAGAGAATTAGAGAGTAGAGAGTTAAGAATAGGATTTAGGAAGAATTGGAGAAGAGATGAAAAAATGTTTAAGATTAGGAGTATTTATAGGTTTTTTTACCCACCCCCACCCCCAAACCCCCCGGACCCCCCTGCACCCACCCAACGGCTATATAGCCGTTTGGGTTGTCCCCAGCCCACCCCCCAACGGCTATTTTGGCCAAAACATTTTTTTTAAAATGACCGTTGGACCCGGACCCGGGCCCGACCCTACCGGGCCGGGTCAACTATTTCCGGAACCGAGCCCGCCCCACCCATCCCCACCGGTTCGGGTCTACACCCGGTCCCGGACCGCCAGATCGGGCCGGTCCCGGGCCCGCACAGTAGCAGGCCGGGCCGGGCCGGGTCACGGGCCGGTGGCCCGAACCGAATCCACCCCTACTTCACACATACACAGATCCAACACGATTAGCCTGCAAAAGCTTCCTTGACAATTTTTTGGGAGCCATGAAATCTATTTTTCAAATTAGCCAATACTTCCACCGTTCTTAAATAAGTGCAACAGTCAACATTTCACACTTGTCGAGGCACAACTTTGACCATTAATATATTAAAACTCTTTTTTAGTAAAAAAAATTAAAAATATATATTCTGAAAATTTACAATGAGACAAATTTAACAATATTTTTTTCAAGAAAATATATTAATACATTATTTAATTAAACGTAGTCAAAGTAGAATATGTGAATAGTGTAAAATTCAACATGTTG